AAGCCAGATTCTAACAAGAGGTGTTCTTATAATAACATTGAATGTCTATTTCCTAGTATAAAAATTACATTGAAGGCAGCTCATCATATATAGTCATCTTGTTTCTCAAGCCTTGTGTTCCTGCCCAAACCAAGATCCTACTATCAAGTCTTATTTTTTTATTGTTGTAGTTTGCTTGTTTAATTTGCTTGCTGTGGTGGTTTGAATAAGAATGACCCTTAAAGTCTCATAGATTTGAATGCTTGGTCACTAGGGAGTGGCACTATTGGAAAGGATTAGAAAGTGTGGCCTTGTTGGAGAAAGTATATCACCAATAATGGACTTTACGGTTTCAAAAGCACATTCCAAGTACAGAATATCTCTCTTGTCCAGCTGATCAGGATGTATCTCTTAGCTACTTCTCCAGGTCTATTTCTACCTGTGTGCCACCATGCTTCTTGTAATGATGGCAATGAACTAAACCTCTGAAACTGTGAACAAGAACCCAATTAAATGCTCTCTTTTATAAAAAGCATTGGTCACAGTGCCTTGGTCACAATAACTGACTAAGAACACTAAGACAGAAGTTGATACCAGGAAGCAGGGTATTGTTGTGAGTGGCATGACCATTATGCATGCATGTGGGCAAAATATGGACTTTAGGACTTTGGATTAGTAAAGCAGTTGAATGCTTTAAGTGTTGTTTTATGTGCAAAATTAGTAGGAGTGTGGGAGACAGTGGTGCCGAGAGCAATGGAGATTATGACAGACAGGTTCAAAAGGTTTCAGAAGAAAAGAATGTTAGCAAGTTGCCTAGAGACCATTCTTAGAATATTTTGGTAAAGAATGTGGCTCTTTTCTGCCCTTGTCTAAAAAAGTCTACCTGAGGCTAAATTGAAGAGTTTTGAATTGGTGGTGTTGGCAGAGGAAATTTCAAGACAGCCTAGTCTGTCAAGTGTCAAGTGGTTAATGAAAGAAGCAAGCTTAGCAAGGAAAAACAGTACAAAATGCATTGTTTGAAGATAAAATGGACACCATGAAATGTACTGGGGCCAAGTCAAGTGTTCAAGGACATGAAAAGGTTAAAGAAAAACCTGATGCCAAATGGAATAAAGGGAATGATGAGGTCAGGGCAAGGCCCAATACAGCTAAGTTTCCAAGTTGTGAAAAGAAATTGAAGAAATTTTATGCAATGAGGAAAAGGATCAACAACAAAAAGCTGATACAGGTGTAACTGAATTATGAGGGTCATGTTCCAACCCCAAAAAGCATTGGAAACTGGCAGTTTCATCCACATGGTTCCAACTTTAGAGTCAAAGATACAAGAAAGGGGTTGTGAAATCTTCCTCTGTGGATAAGGACAGTCACTGAGGCCAAGTGTGTATCAGGGGTGTCTCTTCATGTAGGTTCAGAGAGAACATTATGTGAAGTTGTGATAGTGAAGCCTGGATTTTGTTGGAAACCCCAAGGTGTTGGAGGTGCCACAGCCATGGGATACCTTCCAGGAAAAGCTGCTAACATAGTGTGTAACCAACCCAATAGAGAAAAGTAGAGAAAAGTGTGTTATAGTCAACAATGCTGAAAGGATTTGGAGATCTGAAGACCACTTTGACAGCAGGCATGGAGATGTTTGAAGTTTACCTTGCTGGCTTCTGGTTTTGCTTCTGTCTAGTATTTCTTCACTATGCTCCTTTTCCTCTCTTTTAGAATGGTAATCTATATTCTGTGCCATTGTATGTTGGAAGTAAGTCATTATCTTTTTGATTTTTACAAGGGGTTACAGTTAGAGACTGCTTTGACTCTCAGGAAGAGACTTTTGACTTTTAAACAGTGTTGAGACTGTGATAGACTATGTAGACTTTTGAAGTCTAGCTGAATCAAATTTTGCAATATGATATGGCCAGGGAGTAGAATGTGATGGTTTGAATAATAATGTCTCCCATAGGCTCATAGCTTTGAATGCTTGATCACCAAAGCACTATTTTAAAGGATTGGGAGGTATGGCTTTGTTGGAGGAAGTATCACTGAGGGTGGGCATTGAGGATTCCAAAACCCATGCCAAGCTCAGATTCTTTGTCTTTGCCAGCATATCACTCTGTAGCTCTTAGCTACTTCTCTGGCACCATTTCTGTTCCTGTACTTCCATGCTGATAATGGACTAAACCTCTGAAAGTGCAAGCAAACCCCCAATTAACTGCTGTCTTTGATAAGATTTGCCTTCATTGTGGTATCTCTTCACAGCAATAGAACACTGAGTTGTTTTTCATTTGATTGGTTGACTTTATTTTTTTAAACTGATTGTTATGGATTTCTGCCTGTCCACAAACGTGCTATGTAGCTAAGACTTCACTGAGCTACTTATTTTCCTGACTTAACTTCCCATAAGCCATCATCATAGGTATGTGACTCCATTTCTGGCTGTAACACACAGCCATTCTTAATATAATATTGTGTTAATTTGAGCCATGTCAGATCCTGATCCTGGCCTATCATGACACTAATGTAATCACAGACCTGATTAGAAGCCAGTTGGGAAACATGGAGGCTACAGTGTAAACCTATTTCTGGCATTTAATTGTACCTTCTCTCAAGAGAGCACTAATAGATACTGGTTTGTCTCAAAGTGCCCACACTACAGGGAATCCATCTTAACCCTCTCCTCTCCCTTTCACTTCCCATAAAAGCACAGAGATTATACTTGAGTGGGCTCATGACTTTCTGAGGACATCGGTGTTCATACTGCCGTATTACCTCCCCTGAGAGTTGGATTCCTTGTGTTTGTAGAATGGGCATTTGATAGGGGCTTTATTAGGCTTTTACTGTGCTCTCCATGGGCTCCATGTTTCCTATATAATCCATGGGCAACACAATGTTTAAAGGGAAAACAGTATCCCTCTTGATCTTTGACTCTACAAATGGCTTTGCCAGACATGGCTGAATCAAGTCCAACCTCCAAACTCATGCCCAGAAAAGGAGCTATCTCAGAGAGACCAGAAAGCCTGAGACCTTAAACCACTGCATAGACTAAAGTCTACACAGAACTGTTCATTCTGCATGTTTAACTAAACAATCTACTGTAACATGTCTCATAGGAAGTCAGTACCTTTGTGATGCTATCCTGTGTTTTAGACTACTATAAGCCTTAGGTATAAGCCAAATAAATGACTTTTCAGCATCAAACAGCTGTTTCAAAAACCTAGAACTATAAACCCGAGAATTAGGCTGACTTCACACAAAGAACATTGCTTGAGAATAGGTATGAGTATCATGACTAATTCCATGACATTCTCACTGAAGGCAAGTGGACTAGAAGAAACCGATGTTCTGTAACCATTTAGACTTGCCTGAATGCAGTTCTGAAACCAGATAGCATTTATATACAACTATAGTGTGCATAGAAAACTGAAGCCTATATTCCACACAACATCTTAGCACCATAGGTACTAACCCTTGTGTACACACTCTCTTTTAAAATGAGGCAGAGAATTTAATTTTTCCAAAGGAAAACATAGGCCATAGTTTTTAATTTGTATATTTCCTTCTGGTTTCACTGTTGCCCCTCAGTGTTCTGAAAACACCCTTTATAGGGTAAAAGGGTCAACCAAAGAAAACACATTAGCCCTGAAACCAGAACCAGCCAAAGAAACACACTTTGGCCCTGAAGACAGAGCCTTAAAGAACATGCTTTGGGCTGGGTGTTGGTGCACACCTTTAATCCCAGCACTCCGGAGGTAAAGGCAGGCAAATCTCTCTGCGTTCAATGCCAGCCTGGTCTACAGAGGGAGTTCCAGGACAGGCTCCAAGCAATACAGAGAAACCCTGCCTCAAAAAAACAAAAACAAAGAACAAAACAAAGCACACACACACACACACACACACACACACACACACACACACACACACACACACACTACACTTCAAACACTTTGGTCCTGAAACCAGAACCAAAGAATTGCACTCTGCCCCTGACTCTACATGAAAACAAACCAGTCTCTGAGTGGGAAACCAATCCCTTAACAAGAAATCCAGACAATCTCTGAGCTTGTCCAAACTCAGGGATTGAAATTTGACCAATTCCCAATCAAAAAACCTCCACCCTGGAAAAATCTCCACCCCTAAGAAGCACTGTATAAAGCCCTGTGCCAGTTCAGGTGGCAGCTGCTTTCTTCCATTCTGGCAGAGGCAGCTGCCTTCCTAAATTCCTCCCTCCCAATAAATCTCTTGAATGAGTTTTGGGTAAGACCTTCTTTCTCATACATTTGGGGACCTGAGTAGACCTGTGACAACTTTGCTGTGGAAACCCTGTCCTGCCAGGGCAGAGTTGTGACAATGAGGAAACCTTCCCTGGAGCAGGGCTGTAAGCTGCTGCACTTATAGTGACTTTGTGGTAGTCCTTGGCTCCAGAGTGCCAGGATCCCTTCCCATCCGAGCTGCAATGATTATACCCTGGTTCTTGAGGTTCGTGCCAACAGTGTGCCACTCTACTCCATGGCCTTCCCCACCCATTGTCATCACCTATTGACTTGCATTCCCATCCATGAATGAAGTCTTCCCAACCACAGTCAGTGTTTTCCCCAACCCCACTCCAGACTTCCCCAACCCCACTCCAGACTTCCCCAACCCCACTCCAGACTTGTAACCCTGAAGCCTTCTATGCTCACAGCTCACCAGGAATGCTTCAATATTGTTTTCCTCAGCCACCACATCACAGCAAGGCCACTGCTCACACCATCCCCATTAGAAACTTTCCCCCAAATCAGTTTAAGCGTCCCATGCTGACCAAGGTTTCTCTTCCAACCCCAATCCAACTGCCCCATCCTACCCCGCCCCTACATCCGGCATTCCTGGGTGTTCCACTGTCACCTCTAGCTCAAAATGATGGACTGAAAGGAATCAGAACCACAAGTTATGATTTAAACACTTTTATTAACATGTCCAATTATGTCTCCCACCTAGGAGAACATTGAGGAAATTTGAGGCTTAAGAGGAGTGAACCCCTAGCCTCTCTGACCAAGGGGTCATCAGTGTTCCTCGGGTTCTGATGTCTCAGGGACCACAGCGTTTTCATCCTTTTTTAAGAATTCACGGAGCTGTTCATTGTTCTCTAGTACCTGGGTCACATGCTCAGGGGTTATGAGCCTTGTGCCACTGGCGTGGGCCTCCTTGCCAGCCAGGTCCAGAACGTTGGCTGTCAAGTACTCGAGCACACCAGCAAGGAACACGGGTGCAGAGGCACTCAGACGTTGAGAGACGTTTCCTTCACGGAAGAAGCGTTCTATGAGATCCAGAGGAAATGGCGGCGGAACCCTCGTGGAGCGTGATTTGGTCTCCTTACGCCTTTTCTGTTCCATGGTGCTGGAGTGATGGCTTTGAGTCAGCTCCAGATCTCTCTCTCATCTGGCCTAGGTCTCTCAAAACACGGGCTTTTATAACCGCCAAGTGTCTGTCTCTGCTCCTCATTGGTCAGGAGAGAGGCCTTTGTGACACCAGGCTTTGTTACATCATCGGTGCCCGCTGAACTCTGGTCCTCCTCCAGTCTACAAGTGCCCATGTTAGGAAACCACTCACATTAGTGATTACATTACCTTTTCGGGGAAACTGTTCTACTTTTCTTTGAAAGTAGAATAAACATTTGTTTTTCAATGAAAACTGTTCATCCCACTTTAGCATACCATTCCAGCACCAAGAGTCTAGCATCATTTTTGACATTTTGTACACCCTTCTGTAAACTGTTGGTCACCAACAGATCTGTTACACATGAAATGTCCCCCACAGACAGATGAGGAGCAACAGGGAATCCGTCAGTTTACTAAAGCTGTCTATGTGTAAAATCTGGATTCTGGCCCATGGTATAGAAGTAAATATCGCCCTCTGAGACAATTTTAGGGCAGTATTGCAGAAGAAAGGCCTTAATCTGGGAGAAGCTATGGCTTTATAGTAAGTGGATTAAACTTGCTGGGTGAACAGTTCTATGTGGTCAAGTAGTCACTATTCCTTAGATTTTGTTTAGCATCTCAGGTGGAATGTGAGGTTGGACTTGTTTGATTCCCTGTTGGCAAGCCTTTTGGCCTGGGAGGAGATTTAATTTCAAAGAAATAGAGCTTATGTCTTCAACTCTGCAATCCAATCATGGGTCAAGTATAAATGAAAACACTTTGGTTCCCTCATCTAGACATTTAAAAAGTCAATTAGTATTTCCAGGGAGTATAACATTCTCAGTTGATCTGAGATAATAGACAAATGGACAGTAGAAATAATCTGGCAAACTAGATTCTCTCTTCTACCTAAAAGTGATTAATTTCTATAGATTGCAGGCTCTCTAGAAAGGCACTTCCTGAAACCTGATGCTTAACCATTTTTCCTCATCTAAAATGTGTATTTCCATCTGGCTTCAGCATCATGTGAATGCTCTGTTCCATTAAGCTCATGTCTGCAATGTGTAACCCTTCCCAGCATCCATTTTCTTCTGAGCCCTTCACTCCCATGAAAAAAGACTTCCAAGCAGAATTTCTGGTCCTCATCAGTGTCTCCTAAATTACCATACTGAAAGTCCAACTTGCCAATGAGGCCCCAGCCACCTTCCAAGCTTCTCTGGGGCTTCTTTTGTACTCAGAGTCGATGAGGGAGCCTTCTTGGCCCTTCCCCTACCCAATTCCCCCCATCATCCAATTCTACCCCTCCACCCAAGCCACCCCCACAAAGAAGTGCTCACTGTAAGTCACAGATTCACACACGTATTACTATCCACAACTTCCATCCTCCACCCTCTTCTTAGTATCTTGTAGACACTCTAACTTAGAAAGGCAAATTGAAAAGAAGAACCAGCTTTCACTTAAACACTTTATTAGTATTCATGGACACCAGGGGAGCCTCCTCTGCTATTAGCCATCATGGTTCTAGCTGAGTCTGTGAGGCTTCCCACCCTTGGGTTCTGTTCCCCATTCTTTAGCCATTCCTTCTGGGTCCAGGCATCTCATCAAACAGAGAGAAAGGCGCGTTCTTGAAGGCGTGAGAAGGTTCACGGTCGTTGTCCCCTTGCCTCCCTCCATCTTGTGGGATGTCTTGCTGGCTGTTGATGTTGGCTTCGGAGCCCACCACCTCCAGGATATAGTCAGTAAGGTAATCAAGCATAGCGAGGAGGAAATCTGAAGTGGTGGAGCCTAGGCAGGGGGTATATTGCTCCTCCTGCAGTAGACGGTACACATAGTTCACAGGAACCTGTACCTCGGGCCTAGAAGAAGGATCTTCCATCTTCTTGTTGTCACTGCAAGATTTTTCTTGGTTCTTCTTCCCTGACATGATGGTTTGATGGGTTGGGCTCCGGTAAGCTCTGCTTGGTTCACCAGCAGGACTGGTTCTCTGAAGATACTCAATGTTCAGCCCTGCCCATTGCATCCCCAGCTCATTGGTCAGCAGCTACCTTTATGACATCTTAGGCTTTGAGATGTCATTGGTGCCCAGTGGTGGCCAGTTCAGACTAGGCCTCAGCCTAGAAATGTCTATCACAGCAGTTTCACCTCCCTGCCCTGATTTTGAGAGACATTTTACTCCCCTCAATTACAGTCAAATTATCATTGTAGAAATAATGTGTGTTAGTTGAAAATGGTCTGTCTTTATAACCTTTCATTAATTAGAGGACGCTGATAAACCTATCAAATATACTTTCCAGGTAGAGGTTTGCCTGACCTCTTCAAACTGTTGGAGTGTGCAAAACAGAAACTGGGAAAGTAGGGGTATTCTGAAAGAGGCAGTTTAGAACCTTCAGACACTAATACATCATCAAGTAATCCCCAAATTGCCTGTCCCAGCTCAGTAAAAGGTAAACTAGAAGAGCAACTTGGGGCCTTAAATTAACCACAAAGCTAAAGGTGAGTGACAGTAAATATAGTATCTGTGCCCTCCTAGTCCAAAGTTATCAAAATGTACAGTATCATTCATGTTAACAAGCTTGGGTAGCCATCTCCTATCTCAAACACCCATAGTGAGGATGGAAACCACAAAGAACATATTGGAAGCTGACTTTCTAGACAAATCCAACAGTAATCAATGTGCTTCGTTCTTCCTGAGTTCTCCAGAGGAAGTGAAACACTGTTTTAATACCTACTACTCAAGAGGTCCTGGGCAGACTGATGTTTTCATCCAACCACAACACATCTATCTGATATGTCTATACGCCCAGCTGATGATACTATGTGCTCAGTTGACAATCTAAGGTTTATCCTATTACTTCTGCTTTTTTTAAAAAAGCTTCCCTATCCTTACCCCTAGTCTCTGTTTCATTCTTTGGGAAAGTGATCTAAAGGAGGTACTCCTAACCTTAGATTACCTCATCCCAACAACCTCAATGATTCCCCATGAACAGGTGTGATGCTGTGACTTGGATGTGTCAGGGCAAGTGAATATAAGGTGAAACCCTCCTCACTGACACTGTAGCTTGATGTGCCACTCTATCTGTTTCCATTATGGTAAGTCCCTACTACTTTCTCCACCTACTTCCTTGTTTTGTTTTGGGATACTCTTTCTAGTATCCTTTTCTTTACCTGAATCCTGTTGCCTAGAATCTTCTCCAGTTCCCTCTCTCCTTTCCCTGGGGTTCTTGCCATTAAGACACCACTCTCTCCCTGTCTTGAGTTTCAGTTCCCTTTCCTTCATCACAAAGCCCTCAAGTTTGTTCTTGTAGCACCCTCTTCTATGTCCCTGATCATTTGGAGGCTCTCTGTTGGCATCTGCCTCTTCTTCTCGCTTGTTTCTCTGGTGTCATCCGACTCGGAAGAGCCCACAACTACTTCTTTTCTCAATCCTGGCTCTCAGAAGCCATAGTGTTTGATGATCATGGTTTTAAACACCTTCTTGTTCTCCTGTTCTCTTCTGTAGATACTGCTCTCTTCCAGAGGTTCAGTAGCCCTAGAATGTCTCCTAGGGTGCCTGTTCTTCTAGAGCAGCTCTATTAGCAACACTATTGGTCTCTCTGTCTGTGGAAACTCCATCTCAGCCCTGATTTTTTTCCCTGCCCAATTCCCAACTGCTTTCTGGTAAAAATCTGTCCTGGTGTCATAGGTTTCCCTGGTCTCCCCTTTTTTGGGCATGACAACTGTAACAGTACTTTTTTCAAGTAGAAATAAGCTGGAATCATCTGGGACAATGAAGCCTCATCTGAGGAACTGACTTCATTAGACTGGCCTGTAGGCAAGTCTATGGGGCAATTTTCTTGACTGATGATTGATGAAGGAAGACCAATCCACTGAAGATGTAGAAGCCCTGATATGTTGGTCCTAGAGTTTAATAGTAAAAGTATAGAAATCCATGGCCAATATTATCCTAAATGGAATAAAAAGCTTGACGAAATCCCACTGGATCCAGGAATGAGACAGGGATAGCCTATCCCATTATGCTCTAAGCACTAGGTAGACCAATAAGGCAAGAGAAGGGTATTAAAGGGGACACAAACGGGGGGAAAATTTGTCAAATCAATCCTATTTATTGCTATTTATAGAAAACATGATACTACTGTACATTGGAGCTCCCAAAAATTCTACCAGAAAACTTCTAGAAATGATAAACAATTCAGAAGTGTGGCAGAGTACAGAATCAACTTGCAGAAACAGCTTTCTATATGCCAATACCAAACATACAGAGAAGGAAATTATGGACATACTAGCATTCATGATAGTGTCAAATAAAGTAAAATAATTAGGAATAAACATAACCAAGGAAGTGAAGGACATCTACAATGAAAGCTTTAAAGCTACTAACAGAGAGAGAAAGATACTAGAAAATGGAAATACATCCCATGCTCATGTACTGATAAATTAATATTGTGAAATGACCATTTTATCAAAGGCTGTTTACCGATTCAAAGTAATCCCAATCAACATCTTCAACAAATGATGCGGGGAAAACTGTATGTCCACATACTCATACCTATTACTCTGTACAAAGAATAAGTCCCAATAGATCAAAATCCTAAATGTGAATTCTGAAACTCTGAAACTGCTAGAAGAAAACATTGACAATATGCAATGTGACAGAGGTAAACAAATATGGTTTCTGAGTAGGACTCCATTTGCCCACTAATTAAGGCCAAAAAGTGTTGAGCAGGACTTCATAAAACTAAAAAACTTCTGCATAGCAAAAGAAACAAGGAACAGAGAGAAAAGGAAGTCCACAAAATGGAAAAGAATCTTTGTTAGCTATACTTCTGACAGAGGACTAATATCCTGAATATATAAATAATAATAATAATAATAAAATGACTCATTCAAAAACAGGCCTGGGACCTGAACAGAAAATTCTTCAAAGAGGACAAATGCCCTCTCAAAAATATGTATCATCCCTAGCAATCAGGGAAATA